CTGCAGACTTAAGCGCAGTGCTCTCAGAGAACATATGTATTATATATTTGAGGTCATTTTAGAATCAAAATATGAGACTTACTTGTCAGCAATATAGCCACCTACAGGAGATCCAATCATGGCTCCTGCGAGATAAATGGACTGTGACCATGATTTGAGAGACCGTGATTTACATACTAAGTCCCACTGGAGATAGAAAATGAGATAGATCAAGAGTCACAAACAATGTGAAATTATACATGCAGATTGGGAAACCATACATATGAAGTGAAACAAAACCATTTTGATGATCTATGTTTGAAAATGAGAGATGTATGCTTCAAATTGTTTAAAAGTTGCAAAGTACTTTATATTTTGTAAATGCCCTCTATGTTCTAAGTTCTGTGAAAGCCTCTTGTGATATATTAATGGCCATTAATACATATTTGCCAAGGGATTTGAGAAACTATGGAGGGCAAGAATATATGAAACAAATGCTTCTGGGATTAGGGGAGACGGGAATAAATGTGAAGTGTTAAGGTCATATGTCAATGGAGGAACTAAAATAACCTAAGAGGACAGGGATTATTTTTGTGAAAAAGTGTGATTAATCTGAATCTTGATGCCTGTATGAAAGTAAAGGAAAGATTGTGAGAAAAGGGTGAGTATAGAAAGTGTTCATTAGGCTGAAAGTACTCCATTCTATTTTATTCCACTGAATTTTATTCCACTCATGAGACTTGCCAGAAATTATTATATATGAAGATGTCTGGAGAGACAAGAACTGTAAGGTATATGGAATAATATTAAAACTGAGAAATTTTATATTTCAGATCATTGAAATCACTTATTGGAATACAAACAGTGAACTAAGACAAAGAATCTATTGATATGTTTTAAAAGCTGTAGCATGATTCTACTCTTGTTTTAGGGAAATAAGTCTTGCTGTAGTATACAAAACATATCAGAGGAGAATATAAATGGAGAGAAATATTGCGGTGTTATTAAAATAGTGGGGGTAAAGTTGTTTGTCATTTGACTGGTTTGATAGCAGGGGAAGTAAAAATATCAATATAGACACTTATATAAGTTCTATAATAAGATGACAGAAAATTAGATTAAAAAGGTGAAGGAAAAAGAAAATTAATCATAGTTCCCAGATTTGTGATCTAAAAAAAGTTATGTATAAAATTTGCATCTCTGAGACGTGCAACATTGAGTTGCAAATTGTACTGAGAAAATATATTAGATCAAGTTGTTTTTGAGGCATTCAAATGGATATTTCCAATAGATAATTTTATATTTTAAGTGGTTTGACTTGTTTCTTATAGTAGAATTATAAAAAATGAAGAAAGAAATAATGAAAGGAAACAATATTCTAATAAAAATTATTTGTCAAGTGGAGCTGTACTAAATCAACAGAATCTCCCAGTAATGGAGATAATTGCAGACTCACAGTAACATTAGTGTATAAGGTTTTATTTTGGCAGTATATTTTAACAATAGCATTGATAAATGAGACAAAGTAAAAATAGAGCACATCATGAACAAATAATCTATGTCATCTGAAAATCTTTAAGGAAAGTGAAATTTCTTTTTTTTTATTAATATTTATTGGGATAACAATGGTTGTTAAAGTTACATATAATTTTCTTTTATTAACTCATTAATTTTCAAAATACTGGTCAGTATTCAGTTATCTTCTTTTAAAAAAATGATGTGTAGTTTAATTTTGGACATGCATGTTGTACCTAGTTAGATATAATTGATGCAAATTGCAAGTGTGCCACTTCCCATTTTTAAACCAGTTTGTACCACCTGAGATTCAGTTGCCTATTCCTAAAATATGAAACATATCTAACACAAAGGGTTAATGTAAGAATTACTAGATATTCTTGTGTATCGATCTTTTTAATAATAAATTGAGCTACCAACTAAAGAATCTTTTTCACATTTTTAAGTTTAATAATTTTAACATCCCTAGTAGTTAATATTTTGTGTTTGGCTCTGGAAATGTTAATTTATATGTCTAAAATCATATGCAAGTAGTTCCCAAACATGTACTCAAACATTAGTCTGCCTGCCTCCCCAAAAAACTCTTTACTGCTACGATAGACTAGAAAATGAAAATGAATACAGTCCCCGGGTGGTAGTCGTTCAGCAGAAGCTTCCTTTCCCCTTTCCTTCATATATTAATTTTTTGTTGCTGTTGTCTGGGAGATCTATCCTAAGCCTAAATTCATCTTAAATAAACTTAATACAGAGTGCTATAGATAGAAAATGACTGATTGCTAATTTTTCACATTATTTCATACCTCAGTTACAATGGTTGAGGTAAATATGCTTCGATCATAGATCCAACCGTCCAAACATGGCTCTGTCTGCAGCTCAGTGTTATTTATGGCCAAGTCGCTGGAGTTTAAAAGTTGCCACTGGGTTTGACGGAACCGACGGCATTGCTCCTGTTTGTTGTTTGCACCCATCGGGATAGAAATTCTCAGGAGTTCTTCAGCTGTTAGGTTCCTGGAAAGCTTGCTTTCAGAAGTGATGTTGTCAAGGAGATGGGTGTAGCAACGGTGAGCAGGAATGGCCCCCGAAAAGTTTTCCACAAGGTTGTGATTGGGCAAAAGAATCATCAATGATATGGTGGAAATGGCAAGTGTAATTTGGAATCTTCCAAAATTTCCTGTATGTTGAAGCAGTTCTGAGAAGGCCATGGTGCTGGGATGGAAGCAGCAGTTTGAGGAATAAAAATTTTCTGAAAACATCTTGATATTGACATATATTCCTAATTTATTGACAGAAAAATTCCTCCAAATATATATTTATAAAAATATGACTAGAATTATTTAGTTATAATAGACAAAGTAGCATTAGCTTTTCTTACTTTATTATAAAGTATGACATATTGACTTTCACTTCTCATCATGCTGAGCCACATTGTACAAACAGATCATCATTTGGAAAAACTGAAATAATTATACATAATGAAATTGATATAGATATGCAAATAGATTTAAGTACAGATCTAAAAACTTCAGAAAACAAATGAGGTTTTGAGAAATTATTAGGGCAAAAGTTAAGGCAAAGGAAAATTGATGAGGTAAGTGAGGTTCAAAGTTACATTTATTTTGTGGGCATACTGATTTAAGAAAAATGAAATTGTTTAAATACATTTACAGGACAAGGGAAGGGGAATAATGAAGTTCAGAATCACAACAATGTGAATGTCTAACATAAGGCCCTCTCCACAATAACAAGAACTGTAAAAATAATTACTGCTTATAGAACAAGAGTTAACTCAAAGTCACTTAGTCCTGTGTTGTAATTATCACATGTTTCAAACACCTTGTTCATAGTATCAAGTATAAACTTGAATTATGGTTTCACAATAAGAGCTTTTCTATACATAATAATTTCCAGGAAGGCATCCCTATCATAAGCATCACATTGTTGGTAGCATCAGACACTAGTAGGGAAGTGGCCATCATTCTTATAAGTAACAAATCAGAGGAAAATTAATATCCACATGGAAAAAAATAAAATTGTGTCATTGCCTTCCATCATACATAAATGTAACATAATTAGGAACTAAGAGGTATTTGAACCCAGACAGTCATATTCCATCATCAAAGCTCTTAAACGCTTTAGCTGTGAGAGATGAATTAGAATAGCCCTGATATTATGTTAGATAGGTGAATTCAGGCTCACATATACTTAGCATATGGCTCTATCTGACATCAAGAAGAAGGAAGGACTTTTCATACCTTTACTGGACAGTCAGTACAGTTCACATGCAGAGGCTATTGTTCAGTAGCACTCGATGCAGCAGAGAATAGCAACTTCTTCACATTCCAGCGTGCGATAGCAATCTCTTGAGCTTCCAATCCTGATTTGAGCATTGGAATATTCAATAGTACCCTTAAGTGTATTTATCTTCCCATACACTGTAAACATTGATTCCATAGTGTACAGAATATTTTAACTCAAAGGCTAAGTAAACACAATGAAGTAGATACACATGACATTGCCTATTCTACAATTTTAAAGCTAATATATTGTAAAGGTTGAATGGTGAGAATCTTGTTGCAACTTTTAAGTATAGAGTGTAAGCATATGACCAGAAATAAAATACCATTTTTACTTCAACTGTATCTTTATTTCGTATAGCTTTAAATGTATGTGTGAGCTTTAAGGGATGCTGCCTCTGACTACAGCAAAATAGAGAAATATCAAAAAGTCTGAAGAACAAAAGGAAGTATGAGGATACTATTTCATTAAGCAAAGGATTATAATAAAGAGGTATAAATTATTTAAAAACTAAATTTAAACATGTAGATGAAATGTACAATAGCTAAAATGAAGTAGTCAGTAGGGTGGTCAAACAGTATATTTAAACTGCATCAAAGAATTAGGAAACTTGAAGACAGGCTTGAAGATAGGCTTTATAATAGACATTCTGTAATCCAAATAACATAGGAAAGAGAATGAAAAAAAGAGAACACATTGTAAGAGAAATGTGGGACATTATTAAGTATACCAACATACACATATGGGGGCGCTGGAAGGAGAGGAGAGAGAAAGGAATAGAAATAATATTCAGAATAATAGGCTCTTGGCTCTGGAAGGAAAAGGAAATTGTGCTTCTGAGCCTCATGGAACACGTGGATGTCACCCAAGCCATTCCAGGGCCAAAGTGTATGAAGAAAGAAAAGCACAGCAGAAACAGAGAGAGGGAAGACCTGTTTCCCTGTTTCCCTCTTCTCCACCCTCTTTCTACTTTTACATCCATTTCCTATTCATTTTATTTCTGATCATTGAGTCCCAGATGCAGATCAGCAAGATCGAAGCAGATGTCCAAATGGAAAAGAGATTTCAGTGCTTCCTTCTTCCTGGCATTCTCGATATTTAGGAGTGATTCTCCTGCAGCCCTTTTCCTTTGTTATTAGGTAAGGAAACCATATCTATCCCCTCCACTCAGGGTGAGGAGGGTGTCACCTCTTACCAGGGATATTGCATCCACATGACAGTAGTTGATGACTCCAAATCTTTTTATTTAGCTTAGTATTTGGACATCAAGAGTAGAATGATAATACAGTAAGTCCCCGACTTACAAACGAGTTCCATTCTGGGAGAACGTTTCTAAGTCGGATTTGTTCATATGTCTGACAAAGTGAGTCTTATACACCTTTGACCCAAATATACAATGTAAAGCATAAAAAAGCTAAACACACACACAAAATGTGCCAATGGCTGAGCGATTCATGTTATAAGAACGAGCGACATCTACCATCTTTTTTTCTTCTGTCCAATCTCTCAATGATATTCATCTTTGTTTCCATGGTTATTGCTTTGCGCTTCCTAGCAGTCCCCTCCACATCACCACTGCTTTTCCTCTTGCTTTCAGACATCCTGGGCTCAGATTGAGCACTGGACTACTGTACATTATCGCACTGTACAGTAAGCACACAGCAGCACAACTGTGACAACGTCCGGTAGACACGTGAGCTACTTCTGCGATTTGTTCGCACCTACGAATGTTTGTAAGGTGAGGTCCGTTGTATCTGTGAAAGTTCGCAACTCGAATGTTTGTTTGTAAATTGGGAACTTACTATAGGGATAACAGCCCAGCATGGATAATCTCTCAGTATACCAAAAAGGTGTTTATCCCATTTAGGTTTTCTGACACCTTTTCATTCACAATGTAGGATCTTATTCATTCTTTTCTTGGGAAAGAAAAATTTCTTACCTCATCCCGTTATACATGAAAATGCAGAATGGCTAAAAATGAGGAGTTGCATCATGTGATGAGAAGTGAAGAATTATGAGCTGAAATGATATGAGAAGATGGGATGATTCAGATTTAGAATTATATTGAATTAAATGTACAATAATTGCCCTGAATCATTAACAGCTCTGAGTCACCACCCCTCCCCGCATTTATAGTCCTTCCAGGTAAATTGGGAGCTTTTCTCAGTACAGAGTTTAAGGCTAAGACTATTTCTCTGCTTCTTGTTTCTGTATCTGCCCATCATCCAAGGGAATATTAGAAGTGACATACGCTGAGATACTGAAAAGACTTTCAAACTCCTTTTGCTGCTGAAACTCCTCAGCTATGACAATGAAACATGGATGAATGTACTTGGAATTATAGTGATCGAAAAAAGTAACCCCAATCGTTGAAATCATGCATGATCCTGTTTATATAATGTTGTATTTCCCCATGTATAAGACACACCCTTTTTCAAAATATTTGGGGTCTAAAAACTGGGTGTGTCTTATACAGTGGTTGTAGATTTTTTTTACTTGCATTCCCCACTTTTCTTGTGCTTGTTTTTTTGCACTCATACAACCACTGTATAAGTAGCACCCAGTTTTTAGACCCCAAATGTTTTGAAATAGGGTGTGTCTTCTACATGGGGAAATACAGTATTTTTTGAATTTAAAAAATTAGAAATGAAAACTATTAGGGTTGTTGGGACCTAGGGATTTCCTTGGAGGGAGGACAGGAATGAGTTGAATGTGATTCTTATGGTGATGGAAGAGTTCTACATCTTGACTGTGATGCTCTATATCCACACAGGTTATAAAAGTGTATAAACTAAATGCATACACACAGATAAATGAATATACGTAAGACCGGGGAAAGTTGAACAAGAAAATCTGATAGTCCATTTGCTTTTAAAAAGTTGGGATTTTTATTGTTACTGCATTGAACCTGTGAATTTTGGGGGAATTAATAACAGCATTGAGTCTTCTGATCCACGAATTTCATTATCTCTCAATTCATTTTGATCTTTAATTTCTCATGTTTTTCTTTTCAGTATAGATGTCTTTCTGCCTTTTTTTCAGATTTATATCTGTCTATGTCATCTTTGCATGATATTGAAAGATATTGTGTTTTTAAATTTCTAGTTATTTATTGCTTGCTAGCTTTAAAAATTTATTTTTATACTGATTATGAATCTCACAAATCTTGCTAAACACACTTAATGCTAGTAGAATTTCTCTTAAGGTTCTATCAGAATTTCTGCATGGAAAATTATATTTTCTGTGTATAAAGGCAGTTTTACTTCTTCCTTGGTAGTGTGTATAACTTTGATTTATTTTTCTTGTCTATTTTTTTAATTAAAATTTATTGAGGTAACAATGGTGAGTAAAATTACATAGGTTTCAAGTGTACCATTCTGTATGTAACACATCATCTATGTATCATATTGTGTGCTCACCACCCACAGTCAGTTATCCTTCCATCACCATATATTTGACCCCTTTACCCTCTTCTACCATTCCCGTCCCCCCTTATGCTCTGGTAACTACTGAACTATTGTCTGTGTCTATGAGTTTTTGTTTGTTTATTTGTTTGTCTAGTTCCTTTGTTGCTTTCAGTTTTATATCCCACACATCAGTGAAGTCATATGGTTCTCTACTTTTTCTGTGTGATTTATTTCACTTAGCATAATAATCTCAAGATCCATCCATGTTGTCGCAAATGGCACTATTTCTTCTTTTCTTATGGCAGAGTACTATTTAATTGTGTATATATACCACATTTTCTTTATCCAATCATCTATTGAAGGACACTTTGGTTGTTTCAATGTCTTTGCTACTGTAAATAAAGCTGCATAGAACATCAGAGCACATAATCTTTACAGATAAAAGTTTTCAGATTTTTAGGGTATATACCTAGGAGAAGGATTGCTGGGTCATATGGTAA